GGTTGTATTGAGCCTGTAACTCGGGAGTAAGGGTCTTAAAGTTAAGCTTGTTGTGAGGTCGACGGGTTTTAGTTGGGCTGCAAAGTTTATACTGGGACTCTGTCACTAGGAGGTAGTGGTCCGTGGGGTATCCTGTATGGAGTTTGGATCTGCAACTGTTGACTGAACTTAGCCATTGGGCTCTTACAAAGGTGTGGTCGAGCCTTTGAAACCTGCTGGGGTCCGGGTGGGGGTCGGTTCTTTCGGGTGGGAGGGGTTCTGGGAGGTCTATGAAGGATCTGATGTGGGATGTGATAGCGAGCGTGTCTTCAGGTAGCTGTGCTTGGAACTGGGTGTAGAGCTGCTGCATGATGAGTGGATCCTGTATGAATTGTGACCAAGATGATGGCGGTGCTGTTTTGTCTCTGTAAGTGATGTGGTGCACTGGAAGGGGTTCTCTATAATAAGAGGCTGCTTCCACCATACCTAGTCTAGACATCGTCTGTATGCAGAGTGCACGGTTTGAAGAGGCGTTGCGGTCAATGTACCTGGCGCCTTTGCCGTAAGTATACGGGCCTGTGACTCCTTGGTCGTGCCTGTGTCTGGCCTGGAATCGCACGTTAAAGTCTCCGGTGAGGATAATGGGTTCAGGTTGTGGGATTTTGTTGAGGTGATTCTCTAAGGTTTCCCAAAAGGGGGCTCTAACTTCCTCAAGATCCAATCCCGAGTGCGGCGCGTATCCTCCTATCACGTGTAGGGCACCACCCTTCTTCCCAAACGCCAAATGTATGATGCGATTGTTGACTTGTATGACATCTAAAAGGTGTGGTCTGGCGTTCGGGGAGATGATTGCTCCTACTCCTGCAAATTTGTCTCGAGTGTTTCCTGAAAGGATAACAAGGTGCTGTTCTGAGATATAAGAATAGTATGAGGTGCTTCTGGTTTCGGTCAGCATGAGAACATCTAGCCTATGTTCGTGCATAAGTTGGAGGGCGTTCTTAAGCTTAAGCGTATCTGCGAACCCTTGTACGTTTAAGCTTCCAACCCTGAACTTTCTAGCGTAGTGCATAGGCGTTGTGGTCGGTCTATGCTGGACCTTGTGCTTCCTTTGTCTGGGGTATGTTTGCTGCCATAACAGGGATTGTCTGAACCATCTTGCCCTATTATGAGAGGCTTTCTTGGGCGGCGTGACCGCGGGAAGGAGGGAGCCCGCCCCTCCATCCCGTTGTGGTTGGGTAATCTTACGCCACAGGCGGTACTGGCGCCGTCGCCAGCGTCGCCTTAAAGCGCCCCTAGATTGCCCTTTGGCGGTCTGGCCTGGGTGGGGGTACTCTTCGTCGGCCTCTGGTGAGGCCCCCGGCGTGCCTCGAGGAGGCGGTACTCGGTGTTTTGTCAGGGTTTGAATTCCATTAATTCTTTGAATTCCTTGATTTGGTCGGCGGGACCTGAATTCTTTAATTAAGTGTGGCCTTTTCGACTTACGTTGTGATCTAGGCTGAAAATACACAAGGTTACCATTCTTATTAAAAGCTCTGTGCCTCCGGCCTGTTCTGGACTTAGCCCCTGAAGCTGATGTGAAACTGAGCGGTGTGGTCGAAGTGTTGGTATTTCGGGCTTTTAGGATCGGGAGTTGTGGGCTTAAGGAGGAAGGAGACTCGGGTGGGGTTTGGTGCTGAAGTAGAAACTTTCTAGAATACTGGCATGTTGGAAGCAGGGCCTCGAGGCTCAATTCCACTCTAGCCCTAACTCCTGAACCTACCTGTTGTAGTCTGAGGGTTGTGTTACCGTACTTAGAGTGCATTCGGGAATTGCGGGTGCGCTGGAGGACTATAGAGAAAAACCCTGAACTTTATCCCCGGCGGTGTGGTCAAGGACTGCTGCAGGGAAAAAGAAAACTGACGTGCTACTCGCCACCCTCGCGCTGCTGGCGGGGAGTGGCAAATGCAAAAGATCGCTCACGAAAACACTGTAGAGTAGTGCCTGCAGACCCTGCCACTCTGTGCTGTGGCGGTGTCTTTCGAACAAAGCAAGAAATAACTCAAAGCAGGCAGTGTAGCAAAAATTCTGGAGCCAAGCCTTCAGGATGCACTCTTGCTCTTGCCGGCCTTGCCCTTGCCAGTCCCCTTTGGGGGAGAGCTCGGGGCCGCCGCGCCGGCTGCGGATGCTGTAGAAAGGGAGGGCGGTGTGGTCACCTCCGCCATGGCAACATCTCCACCCGCATCAAGGCCAGTTGGCTCCTGTGCGGGGACACCTCCAGGTTTCCCTGATAGGTGGCAACATTAAAATCGCCGACGCATTCATCGGCACGACCCATCTTGGTGCAGTACTCGTCCCAGCAGTAAGCAACAGATTCGACCACTGGCGTTGCGATGTCAAAGGGGTATGGTCGGTAGTAGTTGTTGTGGATCAGGGCATTGGACCAGTGACGCTTTCCCTTGCCCATTAATTGCGATGCCTTTGCCACCGATGGCTGCATCGACCTTGGCTTTGCTGAAAGCCTCCCGCTCCGCCTTGTCCAGCTCGTACTGTGCTCCCCAGATGACTTTGTTCCAGCAGTGCTCCCACAGCGTGGCATCTGTTGCCTCCACGTCCTCCGGTGTTGACTGCAGGACCTGCATGAGGGGCGGTGTGATCTCCAGGCGGCCTTTGAAATCACCATGCTCCTCGAAGTAATGCAGGCGTGCCCACGCCAGTGCATCGGGCTGGAACGACCTTTCCTCGCAAGGTGCCATGATCGTGAGGGTTTTCCTAGAGAATAATAAAAGTCTTGCCATGGTACTCGGTGTGCTCGTTGAGGCATGCCAGAATGACCCTCAGTGGGGCCTCTAACTTCCGCTGCCACTGCGGGCTGCTCGGACTCACACGGACGTGCTTGTTGGGGATAGAGGTGTGGTCGTCGGTGTAGATTGGCGTCCCTCCTGAGCCTCCGTATTTTTCCAGAAAAGCACTCCTCATGTCGAAGCTTTTGAAATGCAACATGATCATTGCACTCCAAAAGCCATTGCCCTGCGGGACCGTAACTGGCTCCACTGCGAAGACGTTGAACCACCGATGGATCTCGCCAGCGTTGTGGTCATTGAGGTACCCTCTGCCTTCCAAAAAGGTACGGATCTTGGGTACCTGCTGCAACATCCAGCTCAACATGTATTCCCGCTGGGTCGGGCTAAGCCCATTAAGCAGCCAGAAGTCACGAGCTGGGTGCCGGCCGCATGTTTTTGCAGCTGACGGTTTTCTCCTGCCATCCAGCTGAGCTCTTCTTGCGCCTTAAAGACATCATCATGGATTTTGGTCAAGGCCGATTCTAGCTGCAAGACCAGGTGGTAGAGCTCGGGCCGGAGAACGGCCTTGTGGTAATTGCGGACGATATTGAACACGTCGCGCGTTGTGTTCACTGGCCGGCTCATCCAGGCTTCCATTGCCTGCTGATCTTGGACCTGTACTCCAAAGGTAGCAGCTGTAACCTGCGCCGCTGCTGCGTCTTCCAGCAACCACGGTTGCACCAGCGTGGGTGCGTTGTGGTCAAGCGCTTCGCGAAGCTCCAGTCTCTCCGCTCGCTGGATCCTCAACGACGCTCTCCGCCGACGGCTCCCCAAGAGGATGCCGGTCCGAGCCGAGCCCGGCCCCAAGTCCGGGCCTCGTTTCAACATTGCCCATTACGTCCGGCGCAAGCCGTCTAGCAGCACTTCAGGCCGTGTGGCGAAGAAACCCAGCTCTAAGCAGCCCAGCTCTCATAGAGGTCGAGATCCGGCGGCTCTCAAACGCCCGAGCCTGCCCCGTGCAGCTGCGGCCCCTTGTGGGAGCCGGCGCCGCATTCGGGGCAAGGTCTCCGAGATCCTCAAGGACTCCTCTTGTTCAGGCGGCTCCTCGGGTTGCTCCTCGAATGTCTCCTGGTTCACTGACTCTTCAGATTCCGCTGTTATCGACCGGCGGCCCCCCGCGCGGGCGCCGCCGCCGCAGCTCGCCAATGGAGGCAGCCACCGTGCAGAAGCCCAAGCCGACATCGACCACGGCATGAGCCCGCCATCTTGGGCGACCACGCACAGGATATATCGGCTCCTCTCTGAAAGGGGCCGTAAGTGGCATCGTGTTTGCGCTGTGCGTGCGCCAGCGCCTGCGCCGCGAGAAGATCCTGGGACCTAAGTATGGAGGTTCGGCGTCGCGCCTTGCGTTTTGGCGTAGGTCCCAGCTTGGAGAGTGCAACGCACTCCGCGGGAGTGTCGGCGGAGCAATCCATAGCACACGTGTCCTGATCAATGACTGCTCCTTTCCGAAGCCAACACCCGAGCCAAGCCGGTTGCAGATCCTGAGTCGGGTCCCTGTTCTTTGCCTCCGGGTTCGTACTTTTGGTGTTCCCTGTCTTTGTTGATCTTTCTTTCTTTCTTTCTCTCTCTCTCTCTCTCTCTCTCTCTCTCTCTCTCTCTCTCTCTCTCTCTCTCTCTCTCTCTCTCTCTCTCTCTCTCTCTCTCTCTCTCTCTCTCTCTCTCTCTCTCTCTCTCTCTCTCTCTCTCTCTCTCTCTCTCTCTCTCTCTCTCTCTCTCTCTCTAAGCACCACGGCTCAGACCGGCTCTACCAGCAGAGCTTTGTATATACAGCCGGGTGCCGCATGACATGGCGTCGTCTTCACATGCTGCTGTCGATGGTGAGTCTAGTGGCAAGTGCGCTGAATCCCCTGCCAGCACTGACAGGAACTCTGGATTGGTTCGGACCACCAAAGAACACAACAAGATTAGCTCCGAATGGCTGGGCTGGGTGGGTGCATTGCATGGTGGGTGGGCGCAGGTGCATGGGTGGGTGGGTGTTCGTGGGTGGGTGCTGGTGGGCTGGGTCGGTGGCCGGGTGGGTGGGTGGATTGTGTGGGTTCCATGCAGTGCATGCAGTGGCATGAGCATTGCAAGTGTTGTTGTTGCAGGTTTGTATGTACATTGTTGCAGTCATTTTGTAGCTCAGAGCCATCGCTCTGCAGGGCTTCCAGCTCGCAGGCAGTCGATCTGTATATATAGGGTATAGATATTTACAGAGCCATGCCTGCAGCTACAAGCACTGCCGTGGATAAGCTCACTGGCGACATCCAGTCCACGACTGCCTTTCTAAAGATTCTAAAGACCATGCAGGGCAACGCTTGCTTGGCTGGTGTTCGTGAGACACAATGCCTTGCTTTGTCACAGCGACTCCAAGGCTTGCAATGCACAGCCGAGGAGGGCACCAACATCATGGCAGCATGGCAACAAGGGCCGTGGTCAAGCGAGCAAACCGAGAAGTTTAGCCAGGCTCTGAGCACTGCTGTGGCGGCCCATTCCACTGGGCAAGCCAAGGGCACGAAAAGGGGTATGCAGAACATCGCCAGCTTCCAGCCGTACCTCTCGGGCAAGGACATGCAACAGCCCTCCAGCGCCGATGTCAACCTGCACAGCAAGATCGACATCCTCGCCACAAAATGCTTCCGATTGCGAATCAGCTGCCCCTCGGAGGGGTCTGTGAGGATGATCATGGCAACCCTCCAGCTTCAGGGGACCGAGGCTGAGAAGTATGCCCATGTCCAGACCTTCAAGAAGCTGCTTAAGGCCAAGGACAAGAAGATGGTCAAGGGTACCCACCTCCTCGTGTATCCTGCTGGTGGCCCATCCGAGCTAGCCGATCAGCAACTGGCAGCACAGGCCTACGATGCTGACGACCCCCCTTGCAGCCAGGCAAGTCAGAACCCCAATGCCATCGCCTCGTCTGCCCATGGCTTGTTTGTGAGGAAGTCAGCCAAAACGGTCAGGGACAGCATGGGCACGAACATGGGTGGATCATCCGGCTGGGCATTCCCAGGGATGCCCAACTTCATGAACCCTGCAGGCGGCATGAACACCATGATGGGGATGCTGCAGTGCATCCAGGCAATGCAGAGTCAAACAACACAACAGGGTGGATTGTCTGGGCTGCAGATCTTCGCTCCGGGCACCAACAAGGTGAATGGAGGCACGGGCCCACAGACCCTGCCGGCGATTGGTAATGGTGGCCCGTCCTCCTCGACTGCAGCAGCGATCGCGAATGGGGCCCCCAGCTCGGGGAACACGTCTGCAGGCGCTTTGCCGTTGCCAAACATCTCGACGTCTGCAGGAGGAATGCAGCTGCAGATGGAGGAGGAACAGAACCACGACCAATCGGCAGAGCAGGAGAACAAGGACGACAACACCGCCGCCGCCGGGAAGACTCAAACTGCAGCAATGGGGTGCATGCAGACAGTCGCCGATGCCTTGCAAAGCAGGAACAACAAAAAGCCCGCCAAGGCAAAGGCCAAGGCCGGGATGACGAAGGCCAACAACAAGGCAGCCAAGGCCAAAGCCATGCCCGTGATGAAGAAGCCCGCAGCACTTTCGAAATCGAAAGGCCCAAAGGGCACAGCACGGCCAACCCGTGAGTACTATGCACAGCTGAGCTATGCGAAGAGAGTGGCATTGAGGCCGGAGGGGCCGGAGGGGTGCAGCAAGTGTCGTCGTCGACCGGGATGCACTCCGAGCTGCTTCGCAAATGCCTGAAAGTGCATCGCCATCATGGGGGCTTGAAAAGATCGTGTCCATTGGTTTTGTGCTGCACTTCTGCCGGCATGCATCAGCTTTGCAGTCAACTTGTGTCGTGCTGCATTTCTGCCGGCATGCATGAGCTTCACAGTCAAGTTTTGCAGCTTTGCAGGGACGGTGATGCATCGAAGCATTCTGTGTGATGTACATATTGATATGCTGGTATGTATATGTGTCTGTATATCTATGTATGTATACACGTAGATGTATGTACTGTCTATATATATATATATATATATATATGTATGTGTATGGATATATATGTGTATATGTATATATGTATATGTATGTAGATATGTACAGATGTAATTATGTAGAAATGTTTATATGTATGTATGTATGTATGTATGTATGTATGTATGTATGTATGTATGTATGTATGTTTCATGTATGTATGTATGTATGTATGTATGTATGTATGTATGTATGTATGCATGTATGTATGTATGTATATGTAATGTATATGCATCTATATATACATATATATATGTATATATATATATATATATATGTATATACATATACATATATATATATATATATATGTATATATATATATATGTATGCCTGTATATTCTTATATGCATATATATGTATGATGTATGTATGTCTGTATATTCTTATATATTATATATGTATGAACATGTTTATGTTTATGTATACACATATGTATCGGTGTATATATGTATATGTATACACCTATATACATATTTAAATGTATAGAGATATGTTTACAAATAGATAGAGATCCATTCACACATACAGACATACATACACACATACATGCATATTCACAAGACCTTGCAATCTTTGTTTCTATAGATATTTTTTATTTATACACATATATATATATATATATATGTATTAGAATATGCACACACATAATACCATTCCGCTTGCAGGGCTTTGGAGCTCGCAAGCAGCACATATAACACAGGAAATAACATCATGGCTGTTCCTTTGGCTGAGTTGGGCAGACGGCACTTCGTTTCGCAGGCTGCCCTAGAATCAGTCCTGCAAGACCTTGGCCACGATGACGGCACGAGCAGGAGAAGCATCAAGAGAGCCCGGGATGAGCAGGTCGCAGTGGAGACCGACTTCGGGCACTTGCTGAGCCACATTGAAGTGGATGTGCTAGAGAAAAAGCAAGTTGCAAAGGTGTCACTACCGATCCTGAACATTCGGGCCTTTCTGGCACATCTTTGCAAGCACCCTGGCACTGCAGCATTCTTCGCGAGGCGACATGCAGAAATGCCAAGCTCGGCTGAGAAGGCATGGCGGATTTGCCTATATTGTGACGAGATCACTCCGGGGAACCAACTACGGTCTACGAATCAGAGGAAAGTCCATGCTTTCTACATCAGCTTCTTCGAGTATGGACCAGAGGCTAGATGTCAAGAGGAGGCATGGTATTGCATCTGCCTTTGCAGAAGCCAGCTGGTCAACAAGATGGTCGGGGGCTTTTCGGCATTAACCCATGCCATCGTCACCATGCCTGACTTCGCAGCATTGCCGAATGGATGCTTGCTCACCCTGCCCAGTGGCGAAAGGCTAATGTTTTTTGCTCGCATCGACACGTTCCTTGCAGACGAAGGTGCTATCAAATTAGTCTTTGACATACAGGGGGCCTCAGGCATTCTCCCATGCGGTCTGTGTGCCAACGTCGCGGGGAAGACTGGAGTGGAGCAACACGATGCTTCTGGTTCTCTGTGTACGATTGCATGCACCGATGGTCGTCGCTTCATCTTCAAGACGGACGACGACATATATCAGGCACATGCACAGATGGAAGCTATGCATGGACGATGCTCGCAGGCACAATTCGAGCAGATGCAGAAGGCTTGTGGCATCAATTTCAACATGCAGGGTGTGATTGCAAAGAAAAGTCTGCCCTTGGTGCAAACATGCATGTATGACTTCATGCACATCTATTTCGTGCATGGATTGTTTCACCTAGAAACTGGCATGCTTCTGCCACAACTATACCATGCAGGTTGCTCACCGGAGGCTATCTTGGATTTCATGAAATCCTTCACCTGGCCTCAGAGCCAGCAGGGGATCATCAAGGAAACCCTGCAGTGCTTCCAGAAGAAGATCGAGAAGAGCGAGGGCTTCAAGGGGAGTGCCTCCCAGTGCCTCAACTGCTACCCTTTGCTGCGAGCATACGTGCTGAGCCTGGCTCCCGGGGCCATCAGTGCAGAGGTGAAGAAAGCTTGCAAATCCTTTCTCAATTTGTGTCTCGTTCTTGACATGCTCATGGAAGGCAATCGTGGCCAGGTGCTTGTCCCAGCAGAACTGCAGAGGCTCATTACCCAACACTGTCAGGGGTTTATGGAAACTTATGGACCCGAGAGTGCGATCCCGAAGCTGCACTACTCGATGCACTTGCCGATGATGCTTGCTGCAAAGAAAACATTGGTTTCTTGTTTCACCCACGAGCGAAAACACAGGGCCATCAAGGAGTTGGCCAACCATCTGAACAACCCGGGCTCATGGTACGAGGCATCGATGATGAAGGAAGGTCTAGGCAAGCTTGTGATGGCAATGACCAGCGGACCTGCATTTGCTATGGAAGCCCATCTCATCTCGCCAAAACTGGCAGATGAAAATCTGTTGCGAGTGCTCGCTCAGACCTTCGGCCTTGCAGGTGCTCACAATGCACAGGCCTCATCTCGTGTTCAGGCTGCACCGGGGCAAGTCTGCACAAAAGGCGATTTCGTGATCTTGAAAGCCGGTGGAGTTGCAGAGGCCTGGTTGTTCTGCAGGTTGGGAACTGGAGAGTTGCTGGCTTTGCTCACCGAGTTTGAAGCATGTGGGCGAAACGTTTTCAAGAGAACGGCAGCCGATGCCCGATTTATGCAGGTGGTTGACATTAAGAGGGCATGCCTCGTCAAAAGACTGGGAGCCGACAAAGTGCAGGTTGTGCCGTGAAAATAAACGGGTGCACTGCCTGCGAGCAAGCTGCCCTGCATGGCGAGTTCATGATTGTTTCGCTTGATGTGCAGACATATACATATAGACGTATGTATGCATGTGTGGGGTATGTGGTTTATGGGTGTATATTTTCAAGATGTCTTGTGGTATAAAGGTGTCTATATACAGATGCTACATGAGTCTAATTTCCAGAGTTGTTGTTGAAAAGGCCGATTCGCTTTTCAATTGTGCAGCCGAGTGGCTGGTGAATAAATTTAGTTTATACAGTTTTGCTCACGGAATCACAACTACATGGTTGTTGTTTTTGCCAACTTGCAGTGTCAATAGCAGATTGTTTCCAGCAAAGACCTGCACAGATCCTTGGCTCCTTGTGTTATTTTTGCCACTACATGCTCCTGATTTTGACCTGCCTGCTTTTGCCGCATGCACGAGATTGCTATGCACAACAACGCCTACAAGTCACTTAGCTAAGTATGCGATTTGAGTTAGCTATGTTCAACTTAGCCCGCTTGTATATCTTCAACAAGTTCGACTTAGCTAACCTCGAACTAACCGCTCTATGTAATTACTATATGCACTAACCATATACTAACCAACCCGCCCTGTCAAGTGGGCCCTCGAGGGCGGGCTCAACGCGGCGTCGCACATGATGGGCTGGGGCGCTGCCACGGGCGGCGGCACTGACTCCGATGCCTCGCGGCCCAGCATGACGACGGACGTGCAGACTTTGAATGGAATGCAAGACTCGGGTGCGGTTGATCACTTCCAGGTTCAGGAGATGCGCCGGCAGCAGCAGCGCCCGCAGGTCTTCAGGATCGACACCTCGGAGAACGAGCCCCAGGCGCAGCCCCAGCAACGCATCGTGGCCCGCCCGGCGCGGCGGCCGAGGGCGCAGCCGATGCCCTTCGGCTTGAACGCCACGCCCATCCCGGTCTCCTCCGACAGCGACCGCTCCCGCATCAGCCGCCAGTCCCGCGCGGACCGCGGCCCTCTCGGCACCCAGCCGTCGTTCGACCAGTTGAGGATAGTAAAGGGTCATGCAAAACGTCACGGAAGCGGTGCCAGACGAGCTCGTCAAGAGCCTCGACTACAAGCTTGGGAGCAGCACAATGTATCGTACATAGCTAGTCGTCGCGATATCCAGTATTTTCCGCGCTCTCTCAGTACCTTCACTCCCACCACCTCCAGAGTCGCTTCATCATCCAGACCTGCTTGAGCTCAGCTCGCGCTCCCGGTGCCCCGTGGCTCCGGGAGCCCGTGGCTCGGCTGACGAAGCGACCGGTGCCTTTAGCGGTGCGGCAGCTCCGGGAATTCAATGCCGGGCCCCCACCCGGCTGAGACAGGCGAGACAGCTGAGACAAGAGTCTAAATGGACTAAAGCTGTCTCAGGGCTGTCTCAGTTGTCTCATCTCTTGTCTGCGGGGAGAAGGGGTGTCGATAAGGGGGGGCGAGGGGACAGCTGAGACAGGCGAGACAGTTGAGACAAGAGTCTAAATGGACTAAAGCTGTCTCAGGGCTGTCTCAGTTGTCTCATCTCTTGTCTGCGGGGAGAAGGGGTGTCGATAAGGGGGGGGCGAGGGGACAGCTGAGACAGGCGAGACAGTTGAGACAAGAGTCTAAATAGACTAAAGCTGTCTCAGGGCTGTCTCAGCTGTCTCAAGTCGTTGTGAGCCATTTTTCTCGTAAAAAAGTGCCCAAAACTAGCCTGAGACGCCTGAGACAGCCCTGAGACAGCTTTGGTCTATTTAGACTCTTGTCTCAGCTGTCTCGCCTGTCTCGCCCTAGTGCGGCGACGCCTCCAGAGCACCGGCATCGAGCATCGGAGAGCGTCCAGAGCACCAGCATCGAGAGCATCGGCGAGCGTCCAGAGCACCAGCATCGAGAGCATCGGCGAGCGTCCAGAGCACCAGCATCGAGAGCATCGGCGAGCGTCCAGAGCACCAGCATCGAGAGCATCGTCGAGCATCCAGAGCACCAGCATCGAGAGCATCGTCGAGCATCCAGAGCACCAGCATCGAGAGCATCGGCGAGCGTCCAGAGCACCAGCATCGAGAGCATCGTCGAGCATCCAGAGCACCAGCATCGAGAGCATCGAGCGTCCAGAGCACCAGCATCGAGAGCATCGGCGAGCGTCCAGAGCACCAGCATCGAGAGCATCGGCGAGCGTCCAGAGCACCAGCATCGAGAGCATCGGCGAGCGTCCAGAGCACCAGCATCGAGAGCATCGTCGAGCATCCAGAGCACCAGCATCGAGAGCATCGTCGAGCATCCAGAGCACCAGCATCGAGAGCATCGGCGAGCGTCCAGAGCACCAGCATCGAGAGCATCGGCGAGCGTCCAGAGCACCAGCATCGAGAGCATCGGCGAGCGTCCAGAGCACCAGCATCGAGAGCATCGTCGAGCATCCAGAGCACCAGCATCGAGAGCATCGTCGAGCATCCAGAGCACCAGCATCGAGAGCATCGGCGAGCGTCCAGAGCACCAGCATCGAGAGCATCGTCGAGCATCCAGAGCACCAGCATCGAGAGCATCGTCGAGCATCCAGAGCACCAGCATCGAGAGCATCGGCGAGCGTCCAGAGCACCAGCATCGAGAGCATCGGCGAGCGTCCAGAGCACCAGCATCGAGAGCATCGGCGAGCGTCCAGAGCACCAGCATCGAGAGCATCGGCGAGCGTCCAGAGCACCAGCATCGAGAGCATCGGCGAGCGTCCAGAGCGCCACAACGAGGTTAGGGCTTGGGTGCGGGAAGGCAAACCCCTACCTGAACCGAGGACAACCCTAGCCGGCGAAGGGTTCTAGGGGTTCGGGCTCCAGGGTTCGGGAGTTAAGGTACCCGGAAAAAAAGCGCACGGAACGGCACTCGCAAGGCAGGGGCTCCAGGGGTTCGGGAGTTAGGGACAACCGGAAGGACCCACTCTGCGGGCCGCAGCGGCTCGGATGGGCCTGCGCAAAAGCTGCTTCGAGAAAGCAAAAACCCATGGGTTCAACAGCGATGACTCCAGCGGCCTCGTCTTCGGCATCGGGGGCCGGCCAGCAAACAAAGAGTCCGGCAAGAAACACTCAGCCATCAATCATGCTGCGCGCACAGAACGACAACTTGCACTCGGCGGCCTTCGATGCTTTTTTTTGCACTCGGCGCTCCCTGTGCACTGGGATCTTCCGAGGCTGCCATCGGCCTCCTTGCCCCACTCACGGCCCTTTGCGCGAATTGAGGGTCTCCTAGCAGGGATAGGTTGTATCTAATTGAAATGATGTTGCTTGTAAAACCGACTTTAAAAAATAGAAAAGGACTTTTAAACACCTGTATGCACCGAATCGAACCGACCCTAATTTCGCGGGGAGGTCCCCTAGGTATCTAAATCTGATGTTGCGGTCTGACTCTATAGCTAAATAACCCAAGTAACCACGCAAGGAGGGGGGATCTTCCGGGCTCAGCTTGACTGCGGACTCGTGTGCTGCTCCCCTGTGCACTCAAGCACGACTAAGAGCCCTTGCATGGTGAAACTGCTTCTGACCAGCTGGCATCTGTCGCTGGTCCTGTACCCGTTGCATGCACCGCTTGACTTGAAAACTTGAACGGCGTCAAGACATGTGAGCGTCGAACTGCTGACTGCTAATCCTGGAAGTCAAGCAAAGCCGCAGCGCATAAAAACGTCGGTGACTGCTGCTGCTACCTCAGCCGAGAAGCTCACACGACAGGGAGGATGCAAGTTCACAGCGCTCAAACTCCAGCGCGGCCGAGGCACACGCATGCAACTTACATATCGTCCGTCTTTTGTGGCAGCACGAACCAGTAGCAATCTTCCCTGCGAGCGGGGAGACGGCAAAACCCCTAAGCTGAAAAGTCATCGAAACCAAGCGCTGGGCTTGGATGTGCCGCGATTGAGTTCATTGGCTTCGTCTTCCTTCACCCAGTTCCTGTCCTGCAAAGTCAAGCTGAGGGGTACAGGGAGGGAGGGTGGGAGAGCGGGTTTGACCTGAAAAGCTCTCCTCTTGGCTGTATATGTCAATCTTTGAAGCTGCAATGTTAAGCTTCTCTTCTTTCTCGATGGCCTGAAGAAGCTATCAGGGCACGACAACAAACAAGAGCGCGGACACAGAATCAACGTAACCCGCTTCTCAGCACTTGGCTTTTTTCAGGTCATCCACCTGACATCGCACACCAAAAGCGCGGAGAACCACTCATAAACACAGAAACGCACTGAGGCAATCGCTTCGGCGCAGCCAAGGTCGCGGCGTTGGCGAAAGCTCCTTTCACTTGGAACGCATTGCCCGTGGGCTCAATTTCCTCGCCGTCATCGACCTTCATTTGTAGGTCGGCAACTTTTCAAAAGAGATGCGAACAAAATAAACCACCCGTCTTGGAGAATGCACAGCTTTCAACAAAGACAACATATGAATGCACAACCGGTATCCTCCGAGGGCCTGGCCGTGAGCTGTTTGTCCTGCAAGTCGAAGGTCATCGCTGCAAAAATGAACTGACAGCAAACTTACAGACTCACTCCAGCAATCCCGAGCCCAGCCCCTCCCCCACATCCCGCGCCAGGGCCCACCAAGCCCGGCCAAGAACTCCACGACAGGGCAAACCCGTGCGCGCAGACAACGCCGTCCTTCCGGGCCAGCTCCCCCACCCGGCGAGTGGTGCGGCAGACATGAATTGATAGCGCTCCCAGCAAGGAACAGCCGAAACACCCTCAGCCCCGAACCGCCTCCCGAAGCCCCTCCCCTGCCCACGATCGGACGTGTGCCCCCACCATAGACGTCCGCCGCACGCCGACGACGGTGCGCCCGGCGAGCATCCAAACAGCCGTGCCCCAACCCTGGATTCAGCTACTGTGAATGCTACTGATGCAGTCAAGACAGCGTGCCATCCTTCCTTGTGTTTCCGACATTGGCTCTCACACAGCCCAGTCCTTGCGGATCAGCTCCCGTACCCAGACGACGGATGACGGGGATGACGTTGAGGTCATGCCTGCGTTGGAACAAAGTCACCATGCGCAACCCTTGTCCGTCTAGCTGAAAGCAAAAGCTAGTAACAATGTTCAACTGTTCGACTAAAATGCTGTGCAAGCCATCATGCCTGAACGATTCAACAACTGTCTGATCTCCTCACGGAGTTTGGTGGTCTCGTTGAGCTTGTCGAGAACTGTCTCTGCTGACAAGTATGGGATGTTGATCAAGACGCCTCCTTGATCCATGAATTTTCTCGCCTCATGGCACTTGGTGAAATCTTCGGCATCTGCTCCATCGTAGACCAAGCATTTCACCGCGTTCAGGTTGTGTGATTCGATGCTGCTGACAAAAGATTGCAACAACAGTAGCGAGGTTGCATTGTCGTCAAACTTCTTTTTCAGAGTTTGTGTGGTCAGCCCAATCTCTGCGATCAGGAAATGGGGTTTCTGCAATTTGGTGTAGGTGGCATTGTGCATGTATGCCTTGTAGTCCTGAGCGAATGCTTGCCAGGCTTCAATTCCGTTGCCTACGCCCAGAAAGTCCACCTGCCCCTTTTTGCCCATGTCGATGTCGAAATACCACCTTTCCAGTCCCATCACAGGACGATACTTTGAACCTAGACGTTGCGCGGCATGCTTTTCAAAGAGCCGTCCCCATTCCTTGTGTGCTGCTTTCAGCACGGGCTCAAGCTCGAAGCTTATCTCGCATGTCTCAGCACGACAGGTCGTGCGCTTCCTGCTTGCACGGCTCGAAGCACCAACCACAAAGCTCGACTCTTGTCGCACCACGCAGTACAAGCACTCTGCTAGTATCAGGAACACCAACATCCATGGCTTCCGGCGAGAGGAAACTAGCATCTTTCGATTGGCGATCCTGACCTGCCCCTGGCCCCTGACTCATCGAAACTGCTGACTGCTGCGTCTGACAACATGTACTGAAACGAACTTCTACGAGATCTCAACTCTGCGCGCTAGCTGTCAACCGTGGAGTGGAAAACGAATGCGGGACCAAGAGCGCATTGGCGCAAACACTGTGCTCAACGTTATGGTGTCATGATCACGTGGGCAAGAAGACCTTGCAGATGTCATAAAAGAGCTGGCTGCAGAGTATACGAGTGCAAGCTTCTCATTCCCGAAACACGAGAAGGAATACAAGGGTGTGCCCCAACCCCGGATTCAGCTACTAGTCAACGATCCTCGCGTTCCAACTACTGGCATTTGCTCTCCCATAGCAATCCCTGTGGATCAGCTCCCGCACCCAGACGACGGATGAGGTTGAGGTCGCGCCTGCAGAGCTTCACACCAACACACGTAACGTTCAGGATGTCTTCATTTTCGTAAAACACATGTTGCGAAGCTTGATTTGGCTTTAAGGACCATGTGCGCCATGCAAGAACTTCGATTGTGAGCCTTGTCGTTGTGGTGTTTTGTGGGGCCAATGGGGCCGGCACCGAAACAAATCCCATGAGCGGCCGATAAAACTCTGATTCGCGCCAGCACCTCAAACTGGAAGACAAAACTACACTCCATGGCACCGGGGCAACGCAAACTTGTTGGTAAAAATGCTCGGCTCCATGCTTGGAGCGCCGAAAAAAGTTGAGGTCGTGCCTGCAGAGCCTCTCTTTCAAAGGTGCCCAGAATCTCGGCGGCTACAATCCCACCCTCCATTCTTATAGCTATTCCGCACAGACTCCACCGTCTTAATAGAAATCCCAGCTTTCACCACTCGTCTGCTTGCTATTCACCCCATTGCTCGATGAAGATGCCGCGATGTGCACCACAAAGTTGCTCTCTCTGGGGAGGGTGTTCCAGCTCTCCACTCTGTGGTTCTCTATTCTACTTCGAATGACAAAACGGATTGCAATGCAGAGCGTTCTGACCACAATCCTTTTTTACCGCACAGATTGCTAAGGATGCGATGCTGTGCGAGGCATTGCTCGCTGTAGGAGAGACAAGGCATGCGATGCCGAGCTATCCCCCAGGGCGTGGAGGGTGGGTGAAAAAAGCTTGAAAGCATGCGATGCCAAGCGTGAGAGAGCTAGTTGTGAGTGGCTTGTGCCGAAATGCAGTGCGAAGCAACGGTTACATTCGACACAAGAACAGAAAACACAGTTGATACAAAAAAACAAACTCACAACTAGCGTTCTCTATTCTACTTCGAATGAACGGATTGCAATGCAGAGCGTTCTGACCACAATCCTTTTTTACCGCAGAGATTGCTAAGGATGCGATGCTGTGCGAGGCATTGCTCGCTGTAGGAGAGACAAGGCATGCGATGCCGAGCTATCCCCCACTTCAGGTGCATCCTTAATCTCTGCTGTAAAGACCCCCTCACCGCGCGAGATCGCGGATGTACCTGGCGAGTCGAGGCTTCAAAAAAGCTAAGCAGCGCGGCTCCCCAGCAAAAGGAGAGAGAGAGGTGCGCTCTTTTTTCCCTCATTTGAGCATTGCGTGCTGTGCGTCCAGTAGCGGTTGCGGCCACTCGAGTGCGTGATCATGCAGCGTGACGCAATGCGATGCGGACGCCAGTTGTGCTACAGTTATTTCAACTTTATCAGCAGTGCGATGCTGAAGAAAAGCTGTAGAACCTCTGCTGAGCTTGTCGGCCCACACGTTTTTCTCCCCTGCGAGGTGCTCGACTTCAAATTGCACGCGGTGCAAATGGGCCCAGGTGGCTGCGAGCCGAAGAAAAGTCCCCAGTGGCTCTGCCGTGCTGAAGAGCTTGTTGAGGCTGGATTCTGCGCTTGTATTGTCGGACGCTGTAGGCAGGACGAAGCGGATTTGCTTGCTGCGCAGCAGCTGCCAGGAGCACTGTGCCAGTGCAAGTTGAGCGAGTGCCTCGAAGCAGCCGATATAGGGCTGCATGCTGCCTTGCAGCTGAGGCCATTGCTTACGTACTTCCTCTGCCGAGAAAATGCCACTAAACCAAAGGAAGGAATCAGATGTGCTAATCCAACCCGCGATGCCCATGCGGTGCGTATCCGCAAATGCGTCTGCGGCGCTGTAGCAATGCATACGCGGTGCTGTGCGCAGAGAGCGCGGCTGCTCATGCGAAAAAAGCAGTGCTGGAGCCAGGACAGCACAAATTTGCTTTCATGGCGCAAGTGCACCTCAGAGCGGTGCGGGTCAGCTAGTCGTAGCCACTGGTGCTTGTGCGATGGCGGTACTAGCGGCACATCTGCTTTGCTTGATATTTTAAGGCTGCCGACATCAAGAAGCTGTGCGTTGCGATGCGAGTGAGTTTTGCGTTTTTGTCAAGGCTGTCCAAGAAATTGCCCCACATGCCCGGCGAGATGCTGTGCAAGGTCCCTTTGCAGCTGTGCAAATCTTTGTAAAGCGGTGCCATGAAAGGCCGCATGTGCTTGCTTAGGGATGTAGCCCAGTTAAGAAGACCTAGAACCCCTTCTAATTCCTTGCGTTGTACTTTGCTGCGCTGTTGCAGTGCAAGGAGCTGCTCGCGGAGCTTTTGAAGCTTGAGCTCGCGGAGCTCAATGGTTTCTGCATCAGTGCGTATGGTCCATCCGCACCAAGTGACTTCTTGCGAGAACTGTGCCTTCTTCCAACTAATGGGTGCGTTTAGTGCAGAAAGCAATGCGACTACCAGTGCCGCTCCCAAATCTTTGTCCGACGCGCGGAGCAGTGCAAGAAGGTCATCAACATATAGCCATGCTCGATGTGGGAAGTCGCAAAGCAGTGCGTGAATGCATCGGAGCAGGAGGCTGCCCGTGCGTTGCCACCAATAAGCTGAGAAGCGTGCCCCAAAATGACATACTTTATAGTAGTAGAGGTCTTTGCCTACT